ACGAGATTTTCATGGCAAGTAACCCTGTCAAGATAATATGGGAGAAATTTATGAAATGCGCAAGAAAGCTTACAAAAAATAAAAACATCTTAGTGGATGACGAAATGAAGGAAAACATATGCTCTGATTTTGCTCGATACCTTAGCAAGCTTGAAAAATGTATTGGAGAGTATGATTTATTCTTTCACAAATTGGTCTATCATATGCGTTATAGAGAGCATATGTCCATACCAGAAAAAATTGGCCCAATCTCGTCTATGCAAAAAAATGAGATAATTGCTGACCTACCAGCCTTACCTCACATATCAGAAATTGAGGTGCTAGATGACATTAGTAATTTATGGTATTTCCATCTTGAAGGTGTGGTCGAGCCGGAGGTGTTAAAGCAAAGCACTTAAATGAATTATATGGATAGTACTCTTAGCTGAAATTCCCACAATCCGCTAAGAGAACCCATACAATATAATTTACATATTTTTTTTCTCGTACAATAATACCAGCTAACTTCAATTCCTATCTTCGAATTTCCGGCCTAGGACGATCACTTCAAACTTCTGGCCTCTGATCATACAGCCTGACCTTGGAAATATCTGGGGATGATAAAAAATAGTTCCAGTTAGGAGAATACTCGGTATTACTTTTTTTCCACGAATTCCATATTTTTTTTTCAACCACGAGCCATATAATTGCAAGAATTAGAAAGGTGAGTATGATATATATTAACATTGGCGACATTAAGGAGCTCGCAATAATAGGAGCAGTTGCTGGAAAAGATACCGCTTCTGCGCCACCTAATTGCTCTGCAACCCCTTCACTCGAAATATACTTTTCAGAATGTGCTGGTCGACTATGAACAGATTGATTGGGTAGAGTATCTGTCTGGCTTCTCAAAACCATCTCATCCCGAGGTAATAGCTCTTGCAAAGCCTCTAATATATTTTCCCTAGCAAAACTTTTATCGAGTTCCATAACTTTATTTTCAAGACCGAGCTCATAGACGAGAGGTCTTAAATCATCACTGACCCAACCTGGAAGCTTTTGCGATGAATCGTTCATAGGCGGAGGTGGGGGGATAGAAAGCTCTACTATTTCATTATCTTTTTTTGAGATTATCTCTTGAAGACGAGAATTTTCCTCCATTGAATTTAATCGCGCTGAAGACAAAGCATTTATTTCCCGTTTGAATATGTTATTTGATGACTCTATCCCTTTTTCCATACATTCTATTGTATATTCTTTTGAATTACGGTCCTCATTTGCTCGCTCCAATTTAAGCTCTTTGTCCTCTAACATACCTTCCAATTCACGTATATTAGCTTCAAGAGAAAGAATCGTGGTTTTGTCATGAGATGAAGCTTTCTGGGCCAAAGTTGCCTCTCTCTTTAGTGTTTTAATATTTGATTTGAGAGATTTGATTTCGGTAGTATATTTGGCTTCAAGCTCACGTTGACTTTCGGAATGAGACTTCCGTTCAGAAATAAGTTGGGATCTAACCTTAATACTGGACGCATTTAACTGACTAGCTTTATTTCCCATATCAGCATAAATTCGCTGGAACTCCTCCTCTCGCTCCGAATACTCTGAATTTTTAGCCAATAACTTTTCACAAAGATCATTAATTTCGGCTTTAGAACTAAGAGTGGTATACAATTTTTTTTTGAGCTCTTGCTCATACGCACTACCAAGCCGATAACTTTTATTATTAATATCTTTCAAGGTATACACATTGGTCATAGCTTTTTTTCGGCTTAGTTGCTAATATATTAAAAAACATGCGATTGAAAATTTTTTACTTGGCAATTTTTTTAGACTGAATATATTGAATCGAATACACCGAATACACCGAATGAACCAAATGAACCGAATCTACTGAAAATATATCGATAATAACGAAAATGTATCGAAAATATACCAGTAATTTTTCGAAAGATTTTTTTATCAATTTGTAAAAAAATGCTTCGGTATTTGCGTTCAGATGCGACCCCCTTATCTGCTGAAGATATCCAGGATATTATTAAAGCTAAAAATTCAACGAAGCGGGCATCGGAAGTCATGGCTAACAAATACAAAATATCAACACGGCGGGTGTATCAAATTTAGAGAAGAGCTCACCCACCAATAGACCCTAAAGATATAAAACCACTGTCAGAAGAACCTGGTTCGTATCAGCAAGCGGATCCT